TACACCTAACCAAAAAAATTCTGCAACTTTCAATATATATATGTCTATTGTTTCCCTATTGTTTAATCTCTCAAGAACAAAAGACATATATATATTAAAAGTTGCAGAATTTTTTTGGTTAGGTGTATGTAATTATTAATTATCATTAAATACTGTCTGATGAGTGCGTAGCACGAAACTCGGAGTAACAGCAAAATCTTGCCTCTTTGATATTATATATATATATATATATATGTAATTATATTTTGAAACTATTCCAATGTGAGAAAATTACTGTTTGTTTTTAGAAAGTTCTTCTTGAAGTGTTGGATCGTGTTTTCGTTATTTGAGTGAAATAAATCAAATGTACATGTTGAATAATCTGATTAGTTATTAGTAAAGAAATCAATCTTTTCATGAAATTCTTTTCGTAAAATGGGCAATGATATAACATATGAATTTCTGATTCAATTTTATGATGATTGCAGAAGTTACACAAACGATCTTCAATTTTAGTTTTGTTATACCTTCCGGATTCAATTGCAAGTTTGTGGTTACTTATTCTAATTTTAGTAAAATGTCTTCGTTGGTTAAAATTTTTAATTATGTTTAAATAATTTTCAGATTCGTAACTACCTTTAAAAGTTTTGAAAAATTCAAGCTTCCTAGAAATTGAGAGATCAGCTTTCCATTTTTCAAAATAATGGTCTTTCATTTTACAAACAAATTCCTCRAGGGATTTGTTTGTAATTACCTCATTTTTAAATGCAGTTAGCTCACTTAAGTTATATAATTGGAACATTGAAAATTGGTGTGAAAACTAGATTTATTTCTAGAAGATAAGGATTTAGAAATTAAAAATGCTTGCTTAGCTACCGAATCATCAGGTAATGTAATCAAATGATTATAAAATTTCAAAATTAATGTGTCAACAGATTTTGAGCGGAAACCTGCCGAGTTCGGATCTACTAGCAATGTTTGACGCTTTTCTAGTTATACCAAGATAATATTTACAAAAGCGCAAATGCACTTTTTCTGTTTGAGATTTATCCCAGTTATCAAAGTTTTGTTTCTGATATGCACCCCAAACGTCACAACCATATGTTAAAATATCGGGACTATCATTGAGTCAAATAATTTATTTGCCTGTTTTGGCTTTAATTCTTTAAAATCCGTAATCTGAGTCAATTTGAAAAATGCATGAAGTGCTTTTTCTCTTGATTGATTTAAATGTGCGTTGAAATTACCCGTTGCACTTAATTTCACACCTAAGTATGTGAATTCACTAACGATATCAAGTTTATTCTGGGTGATTTGAGAAAATGCGACTA